GAGTGGTGTATGATGAGTGGTGTATGATGAGTGGTGTATGATGAGTGATGTATGATGAGTGGTGGTTGAACAGCTGTTGAATGTCCGTAACACGGAAGTTTTGCACACTAAACTTCCTTTGATGATTCTGTTGAATTGGAACAGCTTCTGCAACTATGGGAACCGTTGGACTTCCCTGCTGTTCACATGAACTTTCTGTATGAAATTTACAGCGGGCCTCGTCTCCTACAAGCAGAGCAAGTCACGAGTGGAGCAGTTTTCTGCAAGAAAGGAATCCTGGCCGGATGCCCCATTGCTCCGCTAGTCGCCAAATTGGTCCTGGCTCCAGTGATTGAAGGCTTCATCAGTGAGCATCCAAGGTCTTCGGTTGATGTATGGATAGATGACATTTCAGTTGACTTTGCGGGACAAGATGCCATCACTGTATGCAGAGAAGCCTTGGCTGGATATGAAGAGCTGAAAAGGGGACTGGAACATGCGGGCCTCAAGCTTTCGCCTACCAAGACTGGCTACCTGACGTCCACCAATGAGTGCAAGAGGTTCATCAACCTGCATCGTAGGGAGGATCAACCAAAGGCCCACGATCTTTTGAAGGACCTTGGCCTGGATTCAAGCTGAGCGAGAAGGAGAAGGATTGGGGCCCAGCAAAAGCGGCTTCTCAAGGGACGTGGACGTCACATGAAGCTGACACATCTCAAGCTCCAATCCCGACCGGTTCGAATCAGGGTGTGGAAGACCTCGGTGCATGCAGCAGTCAGCTATGGCATTGAAGCACAGGGCATGGCGCCCCAAAGGTTGAAGGTTCTGCAGCAGCAACTGGCCAGGCATGGAGGGCTCCAGAAAGGGGGCAGCACTGACATTGTGTTTGATCAGCATGCCAAGCTACAGGATCCACGTGATACGGCCATCGAACGTCAGTTGAAAGCCATGCATCAATTGATTCAAGCACGTGGCGGGTCTCTTGAGCACATCCGTGGATGGTGGTGGCAGGGCCCATGGCAGCATTGCAGGCGTACCTGATAGACATGCAGTGGGATGCAGCTGCTCTTGATGACTGGGTGAGGCCAGCAAAAGGGATCCGGCAGGCAGTGCAGCTGAATATCGAATATCCATGGCCTTACTTGCAAAAGCAGCTGCATGAGGAGTTGGCTGTGCAGAGGGCCCAACGCATCCAGGAGCTCGAGCATTGTTTCCCTATGATGCGGAGGCCGGATTGGACCACGTATCATCGAGTCATGAAAGAGCTCAAAGGCACCTTCAAGGGGGGCGGTGGATGCTTGGACGCAAGGGTGCCTCCGTGCAAACACCCATGGAGGCAGGGCTGTCTGTCCTCTGTGCAATGTGCCTGTCGCTATGAAGCACCTCATCTGGGAGTGTAGCTACCATGAGAAGCCTTTGCCGCCGGACTGGGAGAGGCTCATTGCGGCCAAGGAGGATGCAACGTTGTGGGCAAGGGGAATGGTTGATGATGCTCCGGACTACAGGCCGACTGTTGGAGTGGAGTCGATTCGAGTCACTGGCATGCTGGAGGAAGGTTGGCCAACTAGAATTAGCCCCAGCCAGAGGATTGCCATTGGTGTCAAACCCACGTGTCGGGATGGCCGCCTGCAGAAGTACGCTGTTGCAGTCACCATTGGGCAATGGAAAGATGGCTGTTGGCAGCTTGATGGGACTTGCACTGCCCTCACGCCCGGGCAGGCCACAGAGTCCAGGGCTTGGGTCTTCGGCTGCTGGTTGGCACTTCAAGCCATCCTTGGGAGGCATCAGATCAACATCCTGCACAGGGCAGGATGGCAACTTCTGCAAAAGGGAGCCGCCAGTGTACTGGTGGCGGATCTATGGCACAACCTGGATGCAGCGGAATGGAAGAGGTTGACAACCTTGCATGTCCCTCCCAAACTGCTCAAAGGTGATGGGGGAGACCATCGAGGGTGGCTTCAGTTTCAGGCAGCTAAGGGATGTGCACAGCAGAGGGCCTTGCAGGAGACGCCTACGCAGCTGATCTCGAGGAGGCTGACAAATGGCACTTTCAAGTGTACAAAGTTGCTGCAGAGCGCATTGGGATGCTCATTCAGGACAAGAGTCACTACATGCATGACAAGCTTGCTCATGTTGAACCAGCCATCAAACTCAAAGACAAGGCGCCCAAGGGACGACTGGAGATCATGCAACAGTTGGCACAGAGGAAGCAAGCTGAAGGCGCTGAAGGTGTGCATTGTTGGATGCTCAAAGGAACTGGCCTACAATGTCAAGCATGTGGGATGCATCTCAAGGCCAGCAGCACCCATGCCGAGATCGCCAGGAAAGATGGGGCGCCTTGTTCGGGCACTAGGTCCAGGACCTTGCTGGAACAGATGAAAGATCTAGTTGATCTTACAGAGGCCTTGCCGCTTGAGCAGCCTGGGCACAGGTGGGTTTTGAAGGCTCACAACTTTCATTGTGTGCGGTGCTGGGAGCGGCTACCAATCAGATGCAGTAAGGAAGCCTTGCAAGAAGTGACCCAGAGGACCTGTCACTTTGGGGGGGTCCATGAAGGAGACTTGAAGCTTCGAGCCCGGGTTCATAGCAGTCATAGCTTGCAGCGGCATGGCACCTGGATTGCTTGTGCAAGATGTCAGAAGCAGGTCAAACTGCGGGATGGCCATGTCCCTCATTGGATGCAACATGCATGCCCCTGGGGGGGGGGGCAGAAGAAACTCTCCTTTGGCAGTTCCAGTAGCTGAGGTTGCAGGTGGCGGCCATAGGTGTTGGAGAGTTCAAGGAGAATGAGCCTTGCTCTCGAGTTGGGGATGCCACTTTTGGGCTTGAATGCCTGTGGCTTTCGCTGATTGGCGAGCTGAAAAGAACCGAGAAAAAACACAGCCAAACATCATATAAACGGGATAGAGCAGGAGGCCGGCTTGACATTTTCACCTTTTTGCTGCCATTTGATTGGAATGCCCCTATGAATGAACTGTGCCTAAGGAAGGCCAACATAAGAGGAATGCACCACCATCAAAAACAATCAAGTCAAGGAAACTGTGTGCCAACATTTGCAGACCATTTTGTGTAGACTAAGAGTGAAGGAGAAGGTTGGACCCCATGGTGACCACACTAGAGCACAGGTCAGCTGCTGTTTGGCACCGGACCTGGGAAGTACGAAACAGAAACAAAAAGCCACAAGCGACACTTTTGTGATGCTCAACCCAGAATGCCCGCTGCCACCCTAAAGACTAGGTATCAGAGCATCTCAACTGTTCCAGACACCTTGACAAGATAGAGACTGCATTTTTGGTTGGAGTCGGAGGACGCCCCAGCTCCAGAATCTTCAAACGACGCCGAAGTCAATGGCGCTCAGGCCGAGGCACAGGAAGGTGTCGCCGTGCTTTGTTTTGCTTTGCTTTGTCCGCCCCTTCGCACACATTGGACGTGCAACAAGAACATTCACCCATCTCATTTCTATTGAACGTAGACGGCACTTGTCAATTGTAGGATTCCTGACCAAGCACGCACAGCCCGGATTCTCCAGGTTCTATCCTAGTAATTCTGTGGCAGCATAGAAGAATTCCCAACAGATATTCTGGCCGCAGCAGGATTCAAATCCAAAAAAGAATAGGGTGCAAGAGAACAGATCATGAACATGTGCTGCAGCAAGGCCTTAGTAGCGGGTTCGCGTGCGTTGTTCTGCTAAGGGGTACCCGTTCGCGCCCGCGCAGAGAAAACGGCAAAACAATAAACAAGAAACACACATCAATTTTCTTACTGCACGGGCGGGTGGTTAAACTAATAAAGGCGCCCTCCAGGAAAAAGGGTGCCATGCATGTGGTAGGAATAGAAGGCGACCCCCCCGGAAAAGAGGGTACATAAACAGTCATTAATTTTACTGCTTTCCTTTTTTCCCGCACGTATGGTAGAAAAAAGGTTGACCACCCTGGGGGAGAAAAACAGCATTTTTTAAAATCTATTCCACCACGCGGGTGCCTCGGGGAACCCCCTAGCCCGAGCAACACCGCTAAACCAGCACAGCGAAAGTCACGTGTATGAGAGAGGGAAACAAACATGGGCAGGTGCCAACCAAAGATCAGTTTCCTCGCGTTGTGTTCCAGGGCAGCGTGGGAAGCAGCAATGGCACGACCTCAAAGGCTCCGAGCAACGCAAGCAATTCCTCGGCCACTGTCAGCCAGGTGTGGCACCGGGCAGTGCATGGTTCTTCGTCGGGATGCTATACATAGTTACATAGTTATATAACTCAGCCTTCAGGAAGCTCTTGCAAAGGATGTTGACATGGTTTCTGTGAACTGTGGAATGTGTTGAGAAGAAGCTGCTTACTTGCCCTGCCTCCGGTTTCAAGCTTCCAGTGCCAGGACGTGGATGCAGATAGCAAGGCAAACGTCACTGGCAACAACACCAATGCATCGGTGAACGTGGAGGCCTGAAACCCCAATGGACCATGGGTGTCATGGGTTCCATGGACATTTGAAGAAGAGAGAGGGAAACGAGCAACAGACTATGACAGACAGACCTATAGGTTTGCATGCTTTAATCCATAAGTCATAAGTGTAATTTGGCAGGCCAATTGCGCGGAAGCGTATGCGCAGTGCGGTGGTCGCATCCTCATCCAGAGCGCACCTGCGCAACCATGTTGATTGGTTTGCTCCGCAGGCATTGGTTGGAAAGGTGCCACTTGCTGCAAAGGAGGCAGACTTTGCCATGAGGCTGAGAAGTGACTTTCCTCATTACTTGGGCAATCGCTGGAACAGGGTATGTTGCAAGAGGGTTGGGGAACATGCAGGAAGTCCTTTGCTTGGTTCTGCATGTTGTGACGTATTTTTTTATCCCCAGCTATCATTGGTGCAGTCAAACGATTACTACGCCTCCTGCATGACAGAGAAGGACCGGAGGGTTGACTTCCGCAGGTTTGATTCTGTGAATAAGAACATTTCAGAAGACAGGGGACAGACTTATCATATATACAGAGCGTCACATCCACAAAACCCCACCTCGACAACGAAGCAACCAAATGGCCTGATTTCGAAGGAAGTGACTATAGCAAACATCCCGACGACGCAGCTTGGTTCAACTACTGTAGTAGCCCGCGCATGCTTGCTACTCTGCATGCCACTTGGAGTGCTGGAAGCAAACTGAGGACTACAACCACTACAAATAAAGATCCGGAGATTCTTGTCACAGCAGAGTTCTATTTTGGTAGATCTGCTGCCCACACCCGAAACCAAGCCACCCGCTTGGCAACTGAGGCACTGCCAGCTGGGGTATCAGCAATGTGGTGGACTGACCACCAGCACCTTGGCCTTTTTATTATGGCCAGGGACGGTATCGTGGACCTGGATGCATAGCCCGCATAGCCCGTACAGGACATACAGGTATAAGTTAGTACTCGTGTATTTCAGTCGCGCTTCTGCACGCCACTGCTAGTGATTTGTTTGGTTAGATTAGATTGAGATTGGTTGTGTTGAAAGATGCGGGTAGCTGGATGAGGTGGAGTTCCTTTCATTGGAAAGCCATGCTGCGAGGGAGGATATTATTGCACAGAGGCGTGGATGCCAGCTTCTTGGATCTTTTCAATGAGCAGGTATATAAGGGTTCAACAGTTGAACTAGTTGCAGGTCAATGAGAACTACAAGCAATGTGAGCCTCCCAAGAAGGGCGGCCCCCACTTCGTGTACAAGCCGTCGGAGCAGCTAAAGAAGCTTGGAAGAATTGTGCATACCACTTTGTTGTGCCATTGGTTGGACCTTGCAGAAGTAGATAGCTTTCAGGAAGGTTTTTGAATTCCTTCCAGGAATGGGAGTCGATAACCTTGCTACGTGAACACTTTTTAGAAAGGACCCCAGCCCGCATGGAGGAAACCCAGCGATGCACCGCTCTTCACCTTCTATGTCTACAGAGCCGAATCTGACGATGAAGTCACTTGGCTATGCCGAAAAGCTTGCTGCTGCCAGCGCCTATCAACTTGTGCTCCCCATATTGACGAGCTTGCTTTACCTTCACATTATTTCACATTCAGCGTGGTTGGAGAGTGGGTGGAGGGGTATTTTGCGTTCTTTGTTGGGTCAGGACTACGTCACAAATGTCAATGCAGGAAGCCTGGCCTTTTCTTGAAGTGATGAGATGCCATGTGCACGCTGTGGTTGGTGATGCCATCACTCGTGGGTCCGAGGTTGCAAATTTGCCTCGAGTGATGTGGTATCTCCACAACGAGGTTCCTGGGGTGGAGAGTTTGAGCTGAGCAGCTGAGCATTTTGGCACCTCAGGTTGTCTGGCAGACGCCACGCAAGTTCAACATTTCCAGGTAGGAGTTGTTTAGCTGATGCATTCTCTCAGACTCTCATATGACTCATATTCTCCCATCAATCTGTGAAAAAGATAGGATCTACCGGCACAAGATTTCGACACGTGCGACTGCACCTCTCTTTGCCCTTGGCATGAATTTTGGAGCCGCGAGACCGCACTTTGAGGACATTGGAGCAACCGTGCTTCTTTAAAGGGGGGTAGGCTGCTAAGATGTGGTAGCTGCGTATAAGTACAGTAAGTACTAGGCAACAGGTAGGCTAGCTACTAAGTAGCGCTATTTGGCTTGGACGGTCAGGGCTCAGGCTTCCTTGAAGAAGCCTTAGGTTTAGCATACAGTAGATGCTGAATAACTTGGCCAAGCAATTCTAAGCATTCAGTCCTAGATTTCCTAGGAAGGCAAGTAATTTGGTTCCTGGATTTAGCATCTTAGCATTTTTGCCACTCAGGTTCGCTTTGCCTACGACTCTGCCCAGTGCACAGGTCCTTGGAATTGCGATCTGAATTTTGAGAAGCCCGCATCCCAGTCGTTTGAACATCCAAACGGCGTAGGCGTAGACTTCCAAGCTGGAACCTGTGGCAGACAGGAGCCCAAACACGTCACATGAATTAGCGGTTGCCATGAGCCGATGCCGTTCTGCAGGTATGGCTATTTTGTTGGATGCAATAACCTGGGACAATTTCCGTTTCCAACATACAAGATTTATTATGATGATGCCAAGCTGGAGCCTTACTGTTGCGAAGTTTGTGCTAGAAAAGGAATGCTCTTTTCCTTTAGTTTTTAAATTTTTACTTCCTTTTCTCTTTGATTTAAGGCCGACCCTTATATCTTCCTTTGGCTTCTTCCTTTTTCCCTTTCACTGAGGTGGTACACTCTTCCGGGCCCGTGCTCTTCCAACACCTTTGCGGACTGCTGTTACCCTCCCGGCCCTCATGTAGCATCCCCCTCACTGGCTTCTTTGGCAACAAACACTTACTTTTCCACCAGACCTGTCAACGTTCAAGAGCAAAGTGCACATTTTGATAGGTGCTGAGGACATCAGACCCATCTTCGAACTGTTTCTCAAAGAACCCATTGATCTTGCAAGCACGGACTAGGGCAGGGTATTGCGGGCCTGCGCTCCATTGTGCGTGAACATCCTCTTGGGGATTTGCTCGTTAATTGTTTGTTTCTTTGGAATGCTTATTTAAAAAAAATTATACCAGCGTAGACCCCAAACAGTTTGTGCGTTTATGAATCTAAGAAGTAAGCCACAGAGACGAACTGTCAAACAGTCAATGGCTCAAACCGTTCCAGCTCGCGGTGATCAACTCGGACCTTCTGGGCTTGTTTCAGCACTTGGCTATTTTGGCTCAAGGTCAGAACCGGCAATTCAGACGAACACTGAACATACGCAAATCTACTCAATATGCTGAGTTGCACTGACACGTGGTTTTATGCTAAAAGCTTCCCACCACGAGTTTGTGGGTGGTCTCGCTGCATGATTTTACACTTGTCTCCCACTGTCCCCACTGCGGAGACAAATGGGAGACAGGTGTACAGAATCATACGGCCAAAGCACCGACAGCGAACTGGAGACAGTGGGGGGCAAGTGTGCGGCCAAAGCACCCACAAACAATGGTAAAACCATTCATGCGGCCAAAGCACCCACAGCACAGGAGACTGGAGACAAGTGGGGGACAAATGGGGGACAAGTGTAAATAAAATTCATGTGGCCAAAGCACCCACAGGAGACTGGAGACAGTGGGAGACAAATGGGAGACAAGTGTAAAAATCATGCGGCCAAAGCATGCCAAAGCACGCACAGGAGACTGGAGAAAGTGGGAGGCAAATGGGAGACAAGTGTAAAATCATGCGGCCACAGCAACCACAGTGTGGCAGGAACGCATGGCCGGAGACAAATGTCAAATCACGCGGCCCGGTGATGCACCCTTGCAAAGGAGTAAGAACCCCTCACAGGTAAACTGTTTGGGGAAAAAACGTATTTATGCGTCATTGGGCAAGAGGTTGTATGAAGGAAACTTCAAAGTTCAAGTTTGGAGTCCTGGATGGTTCAGAAGAAGACAGAGAAGGTGAAAAGAAGTAACTCCTAGGGAACCCCAACAGAATGACATTTATACATATATATATACGTATATATATATTAAACAAATATATATATATAACATGTTCTTTCGGGTGGACATTCAGGTTCGAGTGTAGCTGGAGAACAGCTAACAACCAATCAAGGTTCCTTGCAATCACCATGCGCGAATTTCAGTAGATATCTCGGCGGAGGTGCCATTCTATGAGGGTAATTCCATGCAGTGCCGTTTCTTTTGTTTGCAGCTGGCACAACTTATACTGATGATTCTCAGTGGGTTTGTTCGTGGGATGTCCACATACGTGATGCCACAGCCAACCTTTCAAACTTCTCAGCAGTTGTCGCCCTCGCTTTTGTGTTGTGTAGATCGCTTAAACTGCGGCGAGCGGCAGGAGAAGGATGCTAGTTGCAACCGCGACCAGCCCGGTGGGATGTGTGTTTGTACCTCAGTGATGCCCCTTTGCAGGAGCTTCTTGTGTTCTCCTCTGCGGGTCCAAGGAAGGAACCCCAACTGGACAGGGCAACTGCACCTACAGTATTTCTGACGCTGGAGCCACTGGTCTGGCATGAGAGATGTTCAAGTTCGCGCGCTGTTATAACACCTTGCTACATCATCTCATATCACGACAGCGGTAAATTCGGTAGATGTGTTGTGTAATCTCTTCTAGGCTTGTTTGCCAGGTTTCTTTGTAGCGTCCTTGATGTTTTTAACTCCTGATTGTAGCGGTGCATATATCCTAAAGGGGTTGGCAAGCCGCAATGAGTTCAAAATATTGCACCTGAAGCTAGGACACAGAATAAGGACCCGTTCAAAGGAAAACAGTCAGGGCTTGCCAACTTGGAGTTAAAACCATAACCTGACTGAAGTTGCTTGGGGATGAGGTGTTGGAATTGGATGAGATAGAAGGCATCTCCAACTATGCTGCATTTGTGAAAGCTGGGCAGTGAACTGAGCTTTCTTCAGAACCCAGCTTCAATGTGCAGCTGCATGCTGCCTAGTGCTTTTTGCCTGATGAGGTATGAAGAGTTCAACAAGACAGCCGACAAAGGATTCGGTCTAACGTTCTGGTGCCTCGTAGCATTGAGCTCACGCAGTTGCCCATGTTCGCTGACCCTTGGGTGATGGGTTTGTCCACCCAGCTTGCTCCTTGAGGGATGGCTTGAACGACACCGATGCAAATGCAGCCAGAGTTGCTCATGATCCTTGTCCGCATGGGAACTTCACAATGCCTTGCACTAGTAAGGCACTTGTTACTACTAGCTTCTTGTTACTACTAGTAAGGCACCTGTTACTACTAGCGTGGCACTTGTTACTACTAGCTTCTCGCTACTCCGCGTGGTTTCCGATGACTCAGGTCGCTGATCTATTCAAGAAAAAGTATCCCGATATGCCCAGCTATAGCCGCCAGGCTGCAAGAGCTTCCGGCGAACCTTCAGCCTTGTTGTCTCAACCCCACCGGAAGCAGAATGACGGGAGCTATGTAATTCCTTGGGACCGGTGTTCGGAGCCCGTTGTGTAGAGGACGCTGCTAGGGCTCCTGGCCTTACTACTAGTAACAATAAGCTACTAGGAGCCTTTTCAGCCGAAACTGTTCCACAGCAGGTCAGTGCCCTGTGCATTCGGAGTTTTAATGGGGGTCTTGATTGCAGACTGGATGATGAATAGTTTTCAAGCCTCGGAGAGAAATTCTCGATACTGCTAGTGTTTGCAGTGCTGTCTTCTCAAAATTCTGATCTGACCCAGGATGATGCGTGTGGTTATATACATGTTTTGTGTTCGTTGGCGTTGTTCCGATCGCGTGGCTGAATTGGAGAAATGATTGCCCAAGGCGAGATGACTGCACCAGCTTGCGATTTCAAATTTGAAGAGCTGCATGGCAGCATGGAGGTGCTTGACTGCAAGACCTCTGTCAGTTTGGGGCTGTAGGTTCTACACGGGCACCACAACTACAACGACGACCACAACCACCACGACCACGACGACCACCACCACAACCACTACCACTGTCTCCGTAGCTCCAGCCAACTGCGAAGAATCCTGGCACATATATAATACTGGCTTTGCCGCTGTCTTGAGGTGGGGGCGGAAAGAATATAAACAAGTATATTTTTCAAGGAATATATATATAGATAGACAGTCTGGACATGGAGTCCTCTGGTATGGCAGATACGGACAGTGCTTGATTGGTTGGGTCTTTGAATGGTGCGCAGCATTCTGGTCAGCCGAGGATGCAATGCCTGGCAGCAAGTGCTACAGCGCCGTTCGGTGGGCCATGAGAGATGGCAACTTACTTCGCAAAAAGGAACGCCCAGGGCTCACAGATGCTCACAGCCACCCTAAACGGAGTTGCATTCTGGCTTTTCTAACCAAAATTTGGTTTGACTACTTGTGGTTCGTTGAGTCAAGATGCAACTCATCATGATGTGTTGCATGGTTTCTTTTTTGCTTCTCAAGGTTCAATCCGAAAGTGCTTTGCATTTGTTAAGGGCAGGGTGAATACTTGGTGACAGCTGAAACCAAAAGCCCTGTCAAAATAGACTGGAGGCGCTATGAGTCTGCAATGTAACATACCATCAAGGTGAGCAGCCATCAATTGAAGTGCCTTCACAAAACATCAGAGAAAAACACCTGAAAGTATCAGGATGGGCATGGGAGAATAAGTATGGGAGCGTAAAAAGTGGCGCATAAGTGATGCATTCTTGTTTCCCTTTCTTCATGCAAGTGGCAGGCACAAATGACAAGTTACAGTAGTTCGCTGCTATAGAACCCCTTGATGACTCGCCTGCTGTAAGCCACACGAGCCGGCGTGAGCTGATCGGTTTTGCTTTTGCCAGAATGGGTCCAGATTTGATGTGAGGCATAGTGGATCGATGTTGCCCCCTGTGGTTTTCGCCTGCTGGTACTCAAAAGCTTTTTTATGCACAGTTTCCAAAACGCAAGTGCTATCCAGGCATACATGTACATCCCCGCTGGTATCCTGGCCTGTCAGCCAGCTCAAGCTTCTCTGACTTCCAGGCAGGTGCTTGGTTTTTCAAGCAGGTCAAGCATTCCTTATAGATACGACAGATGGCGTTTTTGTTTGAACGCTCCGAGGCTCAGGTGCACAAGGCTGCTGCCTCACATTGAGAAGCGCACTTCGCAACATTCTTGTATTTGTATAGTGCTGGACCTGTTGAAGATGATCAAGTTGGCAAAGTAGGTTCTACCGATCCTGGATTCCAAGGCCTCGCCAAATGTTTGTCCTGTGCCCTGTGGCTCTGCTGCGAGTGCATCTCCATCCCCAGCAGCTCCAGCCACAACTGCAGCCCCAGCTGCAGCGATACCAGGTTGCAGAGCTGCTTGGCATGCAGATCTGAAGAGCAGAACGAAAATAGACCCCAAGCACCAGCAACAAACTTTACAGACCCATTTCTTCAGTCGATGGCTTGCTTGCTCGAACTGCATTGTGTCTTCCAGAGCTTATATAGTCGTTTGAAACGTTGAGAGCTTTCAGGTCTCATTGCCCTGTCATCTCATTTCGATCGTTTTCCCTCCAGGATGTGAAAGCCGGAGAGTCTTGCTATTCTGCAGTAAGATGGGCAATGCTTCACGGCAGCTCAGACGAGAACATGTTTATATATGTTGTTCATTTAAGAAGTTGCTTGTCCCTGGCTTAGGCATTCGTGAGCATCCACACTGGTACCCTGGCCTCACGGCCAGCTCAAGTTTCCAAGACTTCCAGGACTGCAAAACTATGTTGTTAGGTCATGTGAGATATGATCACTCATGAATGCAAGGCTCAAGTGCACAAAGTCGGATGCTGAGAATTTGATCCACACGTATTGTCGCGGAGGCTACACGTGTCAAACAGTTCCAGTAGAACGCCAAGGCCACACCCAAGAAGTGTCCTCCACCGTGCTCATGAAATCCTGAGACGACATGGAAGATTAATCTGTCAGTAGTAGATGATCAGGGAGCCTCTTTCTTCTAACATTTTGTCAAAAGTCAGATTGCCATCAGCTCACTCCGAGCTTGAGTAACATCAGGGAAATATGCAACTTCTGCTGAGCACAGAGCATCAAGTTGGCAGATTGTCAAGCTTTTTGCCATAGCCAGGTCCAGCAAAGTTTTCCAACTGGTGCAAAGTCCCAGCTGCGTCAAAGGGTCAACTTTGCTGCAAAAACGAGTCATAGGTATGCGCAAAAAAAGGTATGCATTTGTATTCTCATTCGAGCTCAGTATGTTGCTTCCGTGTTGCTCCTCCACTGTTTTCCGAAAGTGCCTGCGCCGCTTGTAAGATTCTTGAGCCTTGTGCTGCAAGTTCAAACAATATAATACCCGCGGGAAATACACCAGATCCAAAAAAAGAAGGGTCTAAAGTCTAAAGTTTATCTAAAATACTAAAGATTAAGAAGAAAAGGACAAGGAAAAGAAACAAATGCGTTCCTTGGGAACAACAACCAACAACTAACGGGTGCAGATACCAGGCGACGAGGCTGACGATTCTGAAGCGCGGCATCGAGCAACAGGTCTTGAAATGCACAAGATATTAAAACATGCAACATACGGTAGTCACTGTAGTCAAGAATTCCCTTTCGAAGACCTTTCCACCCTCCTGTCCTCGAAGATAGTAAAACATATACTGTAGGCACCTGTAGTCTGCCCTCCGACTGCTTCACCTTTGCCCATGGAGCCGAGCTCGCCCCACTCGCCGGTGACCCCAATGCGGAGCTTCCGAACTGGACGGAGCTATGTCCTGGAGATGTGCAGCGCCAGAGCTCCGTAGAAAGTTAGCCACAAAGTGCACATAAACAGAGAGCTAAGTTCCACGACACCCTTCGAAATATAAATCGTTTATAGAAACAATTGAATGAATGCCGGCCGACTGAGAAACGACGCAGCTATCCAACGAATTGAACTTTCACTGCATAACTGAATGCCAACCGACTGAGGAATTCTGGTGCTCTGCATGTGTGCCATTAGCACCACCCTGTTTGTAGGATTTCGAGCAGAGCATGACCCAGAATGGCAAAAGCTTTTTGAGGTTTGCGAGACCGGGCCGGGACGAAAGGTGAGATGCCATTCAAACCCATGGCAAGCTTTGCTTGTTGGGAACGTGCTCTTGGTGGCTACAACCATGATGATCAGTGGCTATCGGAGCCACCACGTTTTTCTGGCTGCAGTGACCTTTTTGGGAAGCACTGGCATGATTTCCACAGAGCAAGCCCTTGCTGGCTTCTCTAGCTCTGGAAACATTGCCTTTCAAGCAGTCTTGCTGCTCGTGGCGGGCATCCAAGATTCAGGCGTTCTGGATCATATTTTTTCCCGCATGTTGGGGACCAGAGAAACACATACCAAGGCATTTGTGCGGGTGCAGGTTGTGACGGCCTTGTTGGGAGCTATGGTCCAACAAACAACAGTTGTAGTTGCTGCAGCACCTGCCCTGCAACGCTGGGCCCCTCGTGCTGGATGGTCAGTTCGTGAAGTTTTACTTCCGGTTTCGACCGTTGGAGCGGTGAGCCAGAACTTAGTGATTGTGACCTCAACGGTGGCCCTCACGATTTACCAAACAATGCCAGAAGCACAGCTGGAGATGCTTGATCCTGCACTAGTTTGTATTGCCTTGACCTCTTTGACCATCGTCTATTGCACGCTGCTTGCGAAGCCCCTGCTCAGTGCCATGGTCAAAGAACCTCACCTGGACAACAGAGAGCACATGAGGCATCAGTGTCACAATCGCTACTATTTGTCGTTCGAGGTCGCGAAAGGGTCTTTCTTAATCGACTCTACCATAGCACAGGCTGGATTGCTTTTTATGCCTGGCGCATCTCTGGTGGATTCGGACTTCCCTTTGGACCAACAAATGCTTGCTGGCAACCGACTCAACTTTGCGGCTACTGCTGCTGGGGTCGTTGCTGGCTGAAATTATGTAAGTTGTGCTGTCAAAGCGCCCCCCGTGGCAAACACAAACACACCAAAGCCAAACACTTCATACACAAAGCCGAAGGCCATACATCAAGCTTTTTTCTTGCATCTCATTAGGCGCAGATCCGGAACAGAAGCCCTGGCCTCGTTCTTCAAGGAGTTGACACACTGGCCGTATTGGGAGCGCAGAGGCATAGAAGACGCCTTTTCGAAGTTGGAATAGCTCCAGGCTCATCATTGGTGGGTTGACACTTTGCAAAAGTTTAGCCGTGTATTGAAATTGTTGGAGTTCTGAGGCTTTCCGACTTTCAGATCCATTTTCTTAAGATTTATCTTAATTTTGGGTGACTGTATTCTCTCTCCCCGAGATTAGTCGGAATATAGAACAATGAAGTTGAAGGGTCATCCATCCCCGGCTTCTCATTTTCCTTTACGGAGCTTTTGATGAACTGTCAAGTGGCCTTTCAAATGTTTCAAACAAGTAGCATGGGCGTGCAAGAGGTGCAATTGGGAAGCAAGTTCATGAGTGTGGAGGAGATCATCATGGGCAGGTCCCACAATGACATCAAACCCAGGAGAAATGTATATGAGGCAACCTCAAAATTATCATCAACCACTTTAGTAAGGGACGTTTCATCTCTGTGTTGCTTTCGTGATTTTCCTTGAAAAACGATAGGGGACTGACAAAAAACGATACCCCTATGTATACATACTTGCAAAATCCAAAACCATGCAAAACGATAGGGGACTGACAAAAGTGAAACGAAAACACTCCAAGCATATATTTTTGACGCTAACTCATATACAGACATATACAGACATATACAGACGTACGTACATACATACATACGTACGTACGTACATACATACATACGTACGTACGTACATACATACATACGTACGTACGTACATACGTACGTACGTACGTATGTACGTACGTACGTATATATATATATATGTGCGCATATAGACACCTAATATTGTAGTAACATTGGGACCGATGATGTTCGTAGAATAAGGAATGATTGTATAAAGCTCCTCGAGGAACCTATTTTTATCTAGAATTAGGGTTTAGTATTGTTGTTCTTGGTGCAGTATGATACCACTAAGGCAAGCTGCCGATTACTTTGAACCAGGTGGGCGCGCATGGCGGCCCTTGGGGAGCAAGCATGCAAGTTGGGAATCAACAGAGTTACGGTAACGAATGACTCGAAAGGAGTAAAAAGAAATTTCCAGAGCTTGGTGTGACAGATGTGAAGGCCACATGCCTTGCAGCTCGCCGACCTCAACCTTACAACATGGCCAGCCCTCAGCCCAGCCGACGGAACCTTTACCAGAGAGACCGCCCGCAAGGCTTGTGGGCACGGAGGTGTGGGCAGCATTTTTGACTTGCTGGGTTCTGTTGGGTGAGCCGCTTTTAGAACGGCCCCAAGTTTACCGGATGAGCACTTGTAAGTGCAGGGATAGACCTAGATTGACAAAACTGTGTCACGAATCAATTCTAGGCCGTGGCCCACCCTTGATCTCCCAGGAGTTGTGGTTGGACCAACGCGGTTGCAATATAGAACGGAGGGGCTTGTTTTAAATCATTTTTTTTGATCACGAAAGGTAGCTTGAGCTACCTGAGTTCTCCTTGCTTTAGCAAAAATGTATTACAATCAGGAGTTGGGATTGTGCATTGAATTTGGTCCTGTAAGAGTTGATTCTGTTCGTCGGGGGGGGGGGCCCCCCGTGCCTTCGACGGTTCGCGACCATTTAGCGGCTTCATTTTTAGATTAGGTTTGTACTCACACCTGCGGTCTTCTGAGTCGACCCCCCTATAGTGGGACACACAGCAATGTCCTTTATTTCGCATTTTTGCATAGTCAGTTGTCTATGTGTCGCTGTGAAACAGCAACTAACGAATGGTTGAGCACTGGATAGAGTACAACAGCTTGTCTTGCAGAGTTTAGCGCACTTACTATGGTTCTCGAATAGAAGTGGTCTGAGAGGAGAAATTTACATTGGGAATCCGACGTATGGGTTCCGTGCTCATCGCCCGCAGCATTCAAAATTCGGTAGTGGTCAGAGTAGGACGCCTCCTCCGGCATGTCCATTTTTGTAGGTGCCTGGCATTGTTCCGTGCTCATGAGTCCAACCTCAAGGCTGAAAAAAACCAAAACATCTTGAAGCTGGATCCTATTGATGCCCTTAGCTTTGTCTGCCACTGAACTGCCCAAGAAAGCAGCACAAATCATCCTGCTGCGCACTCTGCATCGATTCCTTGATCGGCTGGATCGGTTTGATCGGACAGATCGGCTGCATCGGTTTGATTGGGCAGATGTTTGGTCCAGTGTTTGGGTACACGGAACGCCCCAACCAGACCTTATAGGTTTGCCCATAGTGACATACTGATCTGCAGGGCGCGGCGCGGCCAGCTGCTCTCTGCATGGTGGATTTGATATTATATATAGTACCTACTATTGCAGTCTGACCTGAAGTTTGTGCCAGTCATGACATACTGATATGCAGGTGAATGTTACTATCGTATCTAACATTGCATATTGATTTTAGTTTTGCTGTAACGACCGACTGATATGCAGGGCGCGGCGCAGCCAGCTGCTCTCTGCATCTTCGATTTCATGATCCGCGTGCAAGCGGTCACCCGTGATAGCGCCTTAAGTCCTAGAGACTGGATGCATGAAACTTGTCAGATTTACCTAGTCGCTCGATTAGGACTCACAGGTACGGTAAATAAACGCGACACAGTAGGCAGGAAAACGACACCAAGAAAATGCAAATGATACAGCGCAAGAGGAACGCATTATTAGCACCGCGGGCCTTGAAAAACATATATATATATATATATATCAGATATATCTGGTTTTCTAAGTGCAAGCTTACACAGGTAATGCTGAAAAATGCGACCCCGAAGTCGGAAACGTCATGCAACTTTGTGAAAGTCTTTTCAGGACGTGTGAAACACGTGCACTTACATACCCCGTGTGCACTTACATACCCCGTGTCCGTTGAGCGGAAAAAGTTGCGTGTGCTTCTGATCGTCCGGTCGTCGATCTCGATTTGTGTGTAGAAACTAGTAACTAGTTGGCGGCCCAAAGGAGAGGACTTAATGCCACTGGAAAATAAAAAGGCCCAATTTTTGCAGCTTTCCAACTATTGTGTTTAAACAACTTGTTCTGCAATATTTGACCCAGGTTTAGCACAGCGTAAACTGCGCACAGGCATTGACAAAGTCGCGTAGAAATATGGGATGCACTTGCAACGCACATGCATGCGCAATCATATTCCACAGCGCACTGGGTGGAAACAGTGAGCAGGCATGAACTTATATAAATTAATCTGTATTCATATACTTACCGAACACACCGTTCAGCGTCGACACGTGTGAAATGCAAACATCCGTAGGATTGAAACGTCATCGCGGCCTGTAATGGTTCAGTGGGTACAAGGCAGCTCCAAACATGTGAGTCTTATTGACATGTTTGACAAAGACGCAAACGAGAGGGTAATACTACAGATATACCACGCATCCAAGAAGCCAAAACGTAAACGACTGAGAAATCAAACAAAAACAGACGCATGAGGCCACCTTCTAGCTATGCGCGTGTAATTATAGCGTTGGTGCGATAGACGCTTGCCCCTGGCCGAACAATGGAAAGCTCACCTCACCCTGCTTCAGCCGTGGAAGACGCGGCGCTTCCTTGCGCACGACGACCTGGCCGCCTAGGTTCACATCAGGTGCTCTTTGCATAAAGTGCATGGCGTAGGCGTTGTTTTTTAGTGCCATGGTTATGCTGTGGCTTGGCTTAACGGTGGTTGTTCTTCTTAGTATGGCAATACTTTTGGCTCAGTCTTCTGCCAAGGCACTTCTTTTGCGTAAAAACGGTTCTTTTCGGTGAACTTGGTTGTGCTGCACGATGTGGATGCTTCAGCTTCCTGTTCTTCACTTCCTTCCGCCACTGCTCGGCTTTCTTTGCCTTCAAGGCTTTCCTGGCTGCAACCTTCCTGGGATCCAAGCTATGCACAGGCTTGCGCAAGGCTTCTCTGCAAAGGGTTGGTCCAATCTGCCTCTCCTCCAAGGGTGGCAGAAACCCTTTGATCAAACGACCTTGCATCAAGCTCAAGATTTCTGATTCCTTTCTCTGCGCCAAAGTTGGGTGGTACGCGGCCGAATGATGCGCCAACAGCTTTGCCAAGCTGAATGCTTCCAGCTGCGGAGGAAAGGTTTGGATGTGCTGTTGGATGATTTGCTCTTGACAGGCTTTGAGCTGGAAATGTAAAGCCTCGTTGCTGCAGGTGCCAAAGCTGAGGAGTTCCACTTCCTTCGGGTCCATGGCATGGTGGAGGGCTTCTATGATGTGGGAGCCGTTCCATAGGTAACGGAAATGCTTGTAGGACACACCGGCTCGCAAGATCTGCTCGATTGTACGGCCCTTCTTGTCTTTCTTGTGCATCTGGTCGAAGTGTTGAGCGCAGAGCGCTTGGATGTCATCAATGTATTCCTGGTGGCTTGAGTATGGCTTTACCACCCTGTCATCCCAATTCCAATCGCCAGGTACATCCTCTTCGGCAAAGTCCTCGGACCAATGCCCTTGATCACAGTCATCGTCGTTGGTGCGACCGTGGTAGAAAGGTCCTGGGCAAGGCAAGCGGAAGCGTTTCATGACCCGGAGGAGGCACGATGACAAGGAAGTACGTTTCTCTCCTGTGCAGGCTTCGACGCGCAGCACTAAATGCAAGGCATCTTCAGCCACAGCCACGAGGTTTGGCAATACTGCATTGGCACCTTCCACAAAGGCAGGATTGTCTGAAAAGAGGTATTGCGCAGTGAGCCGGGCGCTGAGTGGGAGGACTTCGGCAACAGCTGAACAAAAGTTGGCAGGCCCTTCTGTGCTCTGGAGGCTGAAGCCCGGCACGGCCCCGGAACGCCCCAGAAAGGTATGGAGTGCGCGGTATTCACCTTTCTTCTGTTGCATCGGTAGCTGTCCGATGGCACTGAACAGGACTTGAAAAGTGGCATTGTGGCTACAAACCAGCCATTCCTTGTGGTCAGTGGCCGTATTGACTAAAGCATCCCGCAAGTTTTTGACGGAGGTTGAAGCCATGACCTGAGCAAAAACAGCCTGGCGGGTGTCTGCTCGACGGCACCCGAGCCACGCACAAGGGCTACCCCTCGTTGAACATGCTGTGGATCTTGCCCTTATGCTTGGTTGCTTTGGCCAGGAGCAAATCAGCAAAGTCATTGGTGATGTATAGCATCTTGTTGACACGCAACGCAGGTGCAGTTTGCTGCTTGAGGACATACTTTGGGCCATCCTGCGTCAACAACAAAACCAGGTCGATGGAATTTTGAGTTGCAACATAGGCCAAAGACTCAGGGTCGAGGTCGGACCAGGTGCGAATGCATTGCGCAGCCTGGCGTATCAATTGCTCGTCTGCAACGCATGGGACGGCCAAAGCGCAGAGCGCCTGTCAAGGGCTAAAAAATGAAAGCTATCCGGAAGTGAGTGTCGCGTTTTAAGCTTCCAGGCCTGCTTTTGCTCAAAAATGGCGCATGCAACATGGAACTGGTACTTGGTCGTCACGAAATCCATTTCAGGTTTATGGTACTTCTGGACGTGCGTCAACAAATAAGATCTTCGGCTGAATTTCCTCCAGGGGCACAAGGTGCACTTGTAAGTCTCATGCGGGTTGAGGCATCCTTCCTCGCTCCGTAAACCTCGGACAGCGAAGCTCCGACTTGACTGGAGGAAAAGGCGGAAAATACGCGACGACCACAGCAGTTGGGACCATTGGTGGGTATCGTAGGGTGGGAGATTCTTCTTCGGGAAACAAATTGAGGAGAGCTGTTCCGATGCAGGAGTAGCATCCAGGTACGTGCTCGATGCTGTGCATTCGAATGCCCTGATTCGAGGCCAGAATGTCATCCAGAATCCGTTGGACTGTGAGAACAGGCGGGGCAGTGTCCAAGGCTTTGACTTGCATGGTGATGCCTGTCAGGCTTTCAAAATCAGCCAGCAAGGCCAACTCACGGGAAGTGTGGTCATCCCCATCGCTGAGCTGCCTTTCTGGCACAGCGAGCACTGCGTCAAAGACCGGCCCAACCAAAGCAAAACCATGTTTAGGCAACAGGTCGCAGAACTGTCGCATAGCTGTGTGTTCCTTGTCGAACAACAAGAAGGCCATTGTAGATGTTTCTGGACGAGGCTTTTTTGCTTCTTTCATAGCTTGTAGGACCTGGGGAAATTTCTGACATAGCAGCTCTCTCAGTTTCATGGCGTCTGCTGCTAAAACTTCCAGCAATGGCAGGCGACGGGGAGCCCCGTTGCCCGCGATGGAAAAGCAAAGCCGAAGCAGGCCATCAAAAGGGCTTTCTTGGCATCATGTTCGGGCAAAGAGAACCAGCTCATGACCACTTTGCGCCACTCCGCTTTGAAAGCGTAGTAGCGGCGAAAGCGTGGCAAGTCCAGCCCATACTGACGGGCAAAGTCCAAAGCAAAGTGCACCACGGCATTTGGCATGTCGAGCTCCTTTGTTCCCGGAGGGCTACCGCAATTCCTTGCGGCCCGAGACAGACTTGGGAAACTCACCCATGGGAAGAAGGCTCTCCCAAGAGATTCTCCGGCAACCTTTTTTTGATGACCGGCGCATGGAACAACCATGATGCCAGCGCCCTCGTCGCGGCCATCTCTTGCACACTGTTCGGCCACTTGCGTGGCATGTTGTCCTTTGACTCCGGGCGCAGCGGTCCCAAAATTTTGCAGGCCGTCCACATTGACTCTGCAAGAGATGGTCCAAGAGTCTCCCTGGGGGAAGCCGATTGGTTCATCAAAGTCATCCGCATTGGAAGTCTCCGCGGCTGAAGGCCAAGCCCAGTCTGCCCAAGTACCGGCGACTTCTTGGACACGCGTCTCTCCCACAGATGTTTCTAGGCAGCGGTGCCACTTGTTGGGGTCAAGGCACCTGCGCTCAAAGCGACCCGTCTGGCTGCCACCTCGAACAACGCCATCCACCGCGCGAATGAGATGTGGACATGCGGGCAAAGCTTCCTTGAGGCACTCCACTCTCAGCTTCTTGCCAGCCCGGTTTGGGGGAGCTGCGCCAGGATTGGAAGCCAAAGCGATTCTGTTGACGTCAGCCTTAGTTCAAAGCAGCGGTGTAGGAAATGCGACGCGTGGGGGTACTCGGATCGCTTGTTCTAGTTGTCTAATTAGTGTTACGAGTTTTCCGAATCAGAAGTAGGGTAGCGCAGAGTACATGTCACGGTGATGATCCGGCCAACAGGAAGATGTCCGGAGCACAAGTCCCTGAGGTTCTGGCTGCCGTGAAGAACTGGCTTTGGATGGCTGCGTGGGTGTCTCGGACCAAGCGCTCGGATGCAGATGCAGCGGCGCTAGACGCTGGCTGCGGAGCCGCCGGCCCGCAAGGCAGGTCTTGGTCTGGACGCAGGCTGTCATCAGAGCGACTCATTTTGCGGAGGAGCCACTGCGTGTCCTTCTGCAAGCATGTTCCTGGCCGGAGGTGCTCCAAATTGTCACTGCATTTCTGAACCCCAGTCACCCGAAGATGAGGGAACAAAAAGTCCTGGAAGAAGCACCATACTGCATCCCCAGAGGCCATGAATTCCTTAGCAGTGGCGTCTGCTTGGAAGACTCTTGGCGACGTCCACCTCATCGTGGTTCGCGGTGAACTTGGACCGCATGTAGGTGCAACGGAACCTCCTTCGATGAGAAACCTCTTCCGCCGTTGGCACCTTGGGGATATCCCCGACATTCATAGCCCAGACTTTGCCAGTGTTGGGCCAATGCCCGTATCTTGTCTCTGCTTCGTGGTTTCTCCGCAAAGGGAGCCAGCCACCACCAACAAAGACCTTGACAATGTCTTCCACGAGCCCTTGGTCTCGCTTGCATTCATCAAAAGTGAGGAATGCTGCGTGGATGAAATTGACCCCTTGCACCTGGAACTCTCGGTCTGCTTGGAGCATTGTGCATGGCGCGCAACGGAAGCCGCTGCCGAACACAGCCCGCATGTGGTTGACAAAAATCAGAGTTTTGCCATCGTGGCCACAGCCGGCGACGACGTGCAACACATCTGGCTGTCTGACCCGGGCCACCACCAGGGCACATTGGTTGAGCAAGACTTGGAGACCATCAGACCCTGCGAAAGAAGACAGCAGGATACTTCCCTGAGGATCCGATATTGAAAAAAATCAATCTTACGATTGATCCAAAAAATTTTTCAATATTATTGAAAATGGTCAAGTTGGAAGCCTCAGAAATCAATATCATGTTCAATATAATATTGATAATGATATTGATCAATATTGATCAATATTGATTGAAAATATTGAATGTGATATTGATCGATATTGATCCCTTGCCTTGGGCTTTTCCTCTGTTGGGCGCATGCTATGCAAGTCAAGAATGGGTGAAACAAACTGCTTTCTTTCAAGCATGCTCCTGCAAGGCTCTCTGGCACCTTTGGCTTTCTTTCAAGCCATCACACCATGTTATTGATCCTGAGCTGCAGGGCCATGGTGTATTTGGTGATGAAAGATTCACTGAGCCTGGCAGCTCTGGTGCCATGTGAGCAGCTGTGGCCCAAAGTGGCTATGTATCCCATGAAGGATTCTTGCTTGTAAGTCCAACAAGTAGCTGGGTTTTGGAATTGTGTCATCAAAGCAATGTGCGCTACAAAATGGCACTTTGGAGTCAAGGTGAACCTGACCTCATCAGCAAAATGGCTGTGCAACCAAATGTATTGCAGCATGCTTTCTTTCAAGCACTGGCTTGCCTTCACACTGTCTTTCATGAAAAGATCGTCCTCTGCAATGAAAGAATAGAATTTTGCCATCTGGTGGCAGCATTCAGCCATGTGGGCATGAGCCTCACACTCATTGGCTTTCTTCCAAGCCACCAATGCCAAAGCAGGTGCCAAATGCCTGATCTCACCTGCATGGCCTTTGAGTTTGGCTGGTTGGGACCATGGTTTTTCATGGTTGGTAAACATGGAAACCACTAGGTTGTTGAACTTCTCTTTGATGCCAAGATCTTTGTACGCTTCTTTAAGCAAGGCCCAGATCTCGGCTGTATTTTTTGACCCGTCCTGTTTCTTGGCACCAGGTGGAAAAGCCCAAGCGTGGAGGACAGACCCTGCCATCCTGGCTGTCACTCCCAAGTCCAAGGTGTGCAGCACATCCAAGCACACCCTGTATTCAGGCAAGCCACCAGGGATTGTGAAAAGAGTGTGCTTGGTACAGGGGCTTTCTTTCAAGCCTTCAAAAGATTTCAGGGCCCACCCTGGTTCAGTGGTGAAATCATATGGGTTTTTGCTAGGGTCCTTCTTGTTACAATCGCACAGCCAGCAAAATTTGTGAGAGCTCCAATGGGGAAACACCAAATGGTTTGCATAATATTCAAGATCCCCCAAGAAATTCCACACCCAAAAGCAAAGCTTTTGTGGTGTAATTGGCTTTCCTGCAAGCCTTTGTAATGCTGGAGGCAAAGCATTGCCTTTCCAATTCACTGCTGGATGCAAGCCATGGAAAAGTGCTGTGAAGCTCCATGCTATGATCTCATGGATTTCACCCCAGGTCTCCTGTGTAGTTGCTGATTTCGGCCATGCAGTGATCAAAAAAGAGCTGTCCATGCTGAGGTTTGCTTGTTTCTCGCTTTGGCTTTCTTGCAAGCCCTGGGGCACATAGAGTGTGGGCCCAAAACTGAAAGTTAAAAGGCTGTCTGTAGAAAATTCCACACCATCTCCATGAAGCCACAAAGGAACAGTTCGATGTTTTTGGCTATCTGTCAAGCCACTGTCCCACAGCCTGGGGTCATTAGGCTTCAGGCCTGTCCAAAAAGCTTCGAGCTTCTGCAAGCCAAACAAAGACGGTGTCAACTTGGGATAGCTTTCAAAAAGCTGCCAGACCAAGAGGTGTGGCGCAACTATGTGACACATAGCCTTTGTCTTTGGGCTCTCTTCTTTGGAGTCTAGAGCTGGCACCTCAATGGACAAAGTCGGGCTTTCTTTCAAGCCTCCATATTTTGACTTCTTTAATTTGTTTTTCAACAATCTGAGGATGTCTCGGTGGCAGTTATTTGGGTGGGCACCAAAGCTACCTAAACCGCTCAGCTCTACAAGCTCTTTGTTTTGCAGCCCATCTGCAGCTGCTGAAGAAGCAAGCTCCTGAAGCCCTGAGCTACTCAGCTTCCCTAAGGACCAAAGCTGCAACAATTTTTTGCTCAAATTTTGGCCTTCTTGCAGGCCCTCGGCTTTCCTTTTCTTACTTGCTTCAATTTCTAGCTGCTGCTTGATCCCTACCATATGGGCCAAAATGGCTGCAGTTGTACATGTGTGTGTCCTTTGCATGCAGCTGAAACCCATGGAATGGAGTGCAAAGACTTTTTTCGCCTCTTGCTCAGGTCAGTTAAAGCAGCTTGCTTTCTTTCAAGCAAGGCTCAAGACAGCAGCTCCAGTGGCCTTCTTTCAGGCCTGCTATTTTTCGATGAGCTTCTTGGATGCTTTCAAAGCAGCAGCTGACTGCAGCAACTTTTCCTTCACAGATTCCAGGCAGTCCATCTGCAAATCCTCCAGCTCATCCCTGCACTTGGACAAATTGGCCAGCTCATGCTTGCCCCAATCGCTAGAGCTGGCTTTCTTGCAAGCCTTTTTGAGGTCTGCTACCTCTTTGCTCACAATGCTCAACATTTTTTTGACTTTCGTCTCTTTTTCGTCTTCTCCTACTTGGGTTGCTTCTTCTAGCTTTTTGCTCCATTTTTCTGCTGCTGCCTTTTGCTTGGCAAGCTTCTCAGCTTCCAGCTTCTTCTGCTTTTCTTCCTTGGCAGCTTTCAGCTGTTGCTTTTTGGATTCTTGTTCGGCCTTCTTTTCTTCTTTTGTTTTTTTCTTATCTTTGTTGGTTTCAGCTTCTGACTGGCCTTTTCTCAGGCCTCTCAAGAAAGTCAGGGCTGCATCTGCTTCTTCCTCAGTTGCAACTTCTTCTCCAGGAGAAGTATCGCTGGAAGATTCAGACAAAGCATCTTCCAATTGGAAAGATTTCTCTGGCCTTCTTTCAGACCATAGTGCCTCCCATTCCTTCTCAGTTCTTCCTGCTGCCAAGGCTTTCTTACAAGCCAGGAGCTCTGGCCCCTTCAGGGCCATTTCTTGCTCAGCAGCCAACCTTTTCTTTTGTTCCAAACTCAGGGTCGTCTGCTGCTTGACAAGCAAGAATTCAAAGAACTTCCTGCCAACTTTCCTCACTGGCAGCAGGCCCTGTTCCACCCTGGCCAAAGCCTCGTCCTTGCCATACCAGTCTTGAACCTGTTTCCATGGAACCCATTCGAACAATTCATTTTCTTGCTTGCTCTGGGAAGCTTCTTGGCTTTGTTTCAAGCCCCCTGCACTTTTTTGACCAGCTTTGATGAAATGAAGAAGCAGCTGCTTCTTTTTTTCCATCACTCCTTTGCCCTCCATCTCAAGCCAGGCCTTCCTCGCTTCAGGGCTTTTGTTTCTCTCGCACTCAAACTTCTTCCACAAAGCTGTCTTTTCATTTTTGCAAAGTTTGTTCCAAAACTCGTCTTCTGACAATTGGCCTTCTTTCAGGCCTTGAATTGCTTTTTGTGTTTCCTCATGAAACTTCAGCCTGTGGGAGGTCAATGAAAAGCCACTCTCAGAGGCTTCCTCTGTATGGGGGGGTGTCTTGGGATTTTCCGTTTCCTTCTTCGGCTGGCCTTCTTGCAGGCCTTCCTCTTTTGTATGTTTTTCCGGTTCTTCTGCTTTGCCTTCTCCTTCAGCTTCTCCTGTCTTCTCCTTTTTCTTTTTTGGGCCTTCTTTCAGGCCTGCCTTACAACTAGGCCTTTTCATTCTAGCTAGCTTTTCACCTCTTGAGTTAGAAAATGGCTGCAGGCCAGATAATGTTATTGCGAAGTGAACAATGGGAGTTTATAATCCTGTGGAGTTCCTGTGGAGTTCCTGTGGAGATCCTGTGGAGTTTGTAATCCTGTGGAGTTCCTGTGGAGATCCTGTGGAGATCCTGTGGAGTTTGTAATCCTGTGGAGTTTGTAATCCTGTGGAGTTCCTGTGGAGATCCTGTGGAGTTCCTGTGGAGTTTGTAATCCTGTGGAGTTCCTGTGGAGATTGTGTGGAGTTTGTAATCCTGTGAAGCTTTTGTGGGGGTCCTGTGGGCCACAATCAATCCTATGGTGCGCTGGTGATTTTTGGATTTTCTGTGGAAGTCGTGCCTTATTTTAGTATTTTCATATTATATATTTATATATATTAAATATATATTAGTATTTTTATATATATTAAATTCCTAACTTTTCTGGCAGGCTTTAGCCTTAGTCAGCTGCACTGGGTGGCTTTCTTTCAAGCCTCTCCCAGGTGAAACATTTGGCATGCACTGGGGGGCTTTCTTTCAAGCCTCTCCCAGGTGAAAAGGTGAAACATTTGGCATGCACTGGGTGGCTTTCTTTCAAGCCTCTCCCAGGTGAAACTTTGAGGGCACAGTGTTGGCTGTTTTTCAAGCCTCAGAGGTCATCTGACTCGACCTTCTGCTTCTTTTGGTCTTCCTCTTTTGAGGTGCTGGAGGAAGACTTATCAGTCGATGAAGTTTCTTCTGGCCTTCTTTCAGGCGTCGCCCCTTCTTTGCTCTCCTCTTGAGAGGACTCATCTGGCCTTTTTTCAGGCCTCTCCACGTCTGGGGAAGGTTCATCTGGCCTTTTTTCAGGCCTCTCCCCACTTGGCCCTTCTTTCAAGACCACTGCAGGGCCTGCTTCTTGACTGGCAGGAGTCAGAACCACAGCTGGCTGTGGCCTTCTTTCAGGCCCCCCCAAGCCTTTCCTCAAGGAACTTTTGCTGCAGTTCCAGGAAGGCTGCCCTCTCCTCTGCCAGCCTGGCTCTGTCAGCCAACACCTCCCTTTCCACTTTTGCCAGGTCCCTCTCCCTTTCTTTGATCAGCTTCCACTTTTGGGACCCTGGCTGTAGAGGCTG